AGCATTAAAGATTTACGAGGATAGCCTGGGTCAGATGCATCCTCGAGTTGGAGAAACATTAAAAAATTTAGCTGTACTTAGGTAAGAATTTTTTTCACTTTCCTTAATACAGCCTCTTTTATTTGGAGTAGCTTTAATTCATCTTACAATAGCACAAAATATTTATTGCTGAATGTTCTTTTCTTAGAGTGGGGAGGGGTTGTTTTTTGCTGATCAACTTCAAGAGATACTAAAGTAGTATCCAGAAGTGAAAGGAAGTCTGCATGATCTATTTCGCAGAGGAATGTACTTACCATGGTAAACAGGGAAGGGTGGTTTACACTGCAACTGGCTCTGGGAGTAATATGGGTAATTTGCTGTCCTCAGAGTGAATTTGCCATTAAGTATATGTTGACTTTTGCTTGCTCATTTGTATTTTTCTCAGGAAGCAGAGAATACCTAACTTTCCTTAGCAATTTCACTGTCTCCATTACAACATGGTTTTAATGGTATCCATATGAGACATTAAAATACTGATACTGGTAGAAAGGAGAAGAGTTGGGCCGGGCGCGGTGGCTCAAGCCTGTAATCCCCGCATTTTGGGAAGCCGAGGCGGGTGGATCACAAGGTCGAGAGATCGAGACCAACCTGGTCAACATGGTGAAACCCCGTCTCTACTAAAAATACAAAAAATTAGCTGGGCATGGTGGCGTGTGCCTGTAATCCCAGCTACTCAGGAGGCTGAGGCAGGAGAATTGCCTGAACCCAGGAGGCGGAGGTTGCGGTGAGCCGAGATCGCGCCATTGCACTCCAGCCTGGGTAACAAGAGCGAAACTCTGTCTCAAAAAAAAAAAAAAAAAAAAAAAAAAAAGCAAGAAAGGAGAAGAGTTTGGGTATTGTTTTACTGGTCTGCTTGAGTGAATACAATGGAAAAGGGGGGAAGTTAGCAAATGTTTACAACTTTTTTTTCTGTATCCTGTAAGGTCATTTTGAATTGGTAAGAGGTTATATTCTCATTTTAAGAGGTTCTCTCTCTCTCTCTCTCTCTCTCTCTCTCTCTCTCTCTCTCTCCCTCTCTCTCTCTCTCTGTCTCTCTCTCTCTCTCTCTCTCTCTCTCTCTCTCTCAAAGCTATGAAGAAGGAGATTTTGAAAAAGCTGCTGAATTATACAAAAGGGCAATGGAAATAAAAGAAGCAGAAACATCACTCTTGGGTGGAAAAGCTCCTTCACGACATTCATCAAGTGGAGACACATTTAGCTTAAAAACAGCTCATTCTCCTAATGTTTTCCTTCAGCAAGGACAAAGGTAATAGCAGCAGTTAGAATTCTTTGCAAGTGTACCTTAAGACAAAATCATTAAACATTTGGAACATTTGAATTTGAAACTTTAAAAGTTTTAAGAAATTTTACTATGTGTGATTTAACTGATATTTGTATGAAGTGGTATTGGACTACATTAAGTTTGAATTGATTGTGTCTGTTTTGTTTAAAATAATTTTACTCTCATATGGTAACCAAGGATGTAGTCACATTAGAATTCTAAGATGACATGAGGAGCAAATCATGAAGAGTGGATTGGTCTTTGTTCAAGAAGAGCTGGCAGAGCAGTTAATACAAGTTCAAGAATTCCATGAATCTTGGTCAGGCATGGTGGCTTATGCCTACAATCCTAGCACTTTGGGAGGCTGAGGTGGAAGGATCACTTGAGGCCAGGAGACCGAGACCAGCCTGGATAACATGGCAAAACCCTGCCTCTATGAAAAATACAAATACAAATATATATATATATATTAGCTGGACATCATGGTACATCCTTATAATCCCAGCTACTCAGGAGGCTGAGGTATGAGAATTGCTTGAACTCGGGAGGTGGAGGTTACAATGAGCAACCTGGGCAACAGAGCGAAACTCTGTCTCAAAAAAGAAAAAAAGAATTCCATGATTCTTTTCAGCTCTCAAGAGATGCTTTAGCCTCACTGCGCCTCTTGCTTTTCAGCAGTAGTCTGTCCTAATTCTCTACCTCAAAGGAAAGTTTCAAGGATTAAAGGGATAATGTTCATGAAAGATTCAAGTTGTCTTCAGTGAAACAAATTAGTCACAAGAATCCCTGATTGCTGCATTTTAAAAAATTATTTATCCTACCCTTCCCTTGAACAGACTGGTTCAATCCCTCTTTCTGTGCTGTCTACATTGTATATTATTTATTACTATATAGTATATGTAGCTGTATAATGTCTCAAGTCTTAATGCAGTAACAGATCAAGCTCTTTAGCATTCTTTGACTTTTTCCAAAATACAGACATGACATTCTCCTTTGTCTTCCCTTTTAGATGGCCTAAATCTGTCTCTTTACCTCAAACTCAAATTTCTTTGCCATTTTTATACTGAAAATAAAATATTTTTATGGATTTTATAAATATTGCAACATTTTTGATAGTTTTGAACCATTTGTATATTTATATATAATGAAATCATCAATTTAATACTTGTAAGATGCTAACATGTATTAATTGTAAAAGTAAAAGAAGCAATAATCACACTTCATTGTTTTAAAATAAAAGTGCAATTTCAAGTTCTTTTTTCCCTACTCTAGTTTATACAAGAGGGCTGTTTTGCATTAATTTTTGAAGAAATATCTAGTTTATACAAGAGGGCAGTTTTGCATAATTTTTAAAGAAATATGTTGAACTTTCTTTTGAACAAAATGTTGTCAATATTTGCTGCTCAGTAGTTTGCTCAGCTTAAGGTTTTGGTTAATGTTCTCTAAGGTGTAGTTACTACTCACAGGGTGGTCCACAAACCATTATCATCACCACCTGGCAGCTTATTAAAAATTCAGACTCTCAGGCCTCTCCCCAGACCTAGTGAATCAATCTGTATTTTAGCTAGATCCCTAAGTGACTCATGTACACATAAGTGTGAGAAGCAGTGGTATAACTCTAAAGCACTGTAGTGGCAATTTAAAAAGGAATGAAGCAGTATATAATGAGCATCGTTCTTCCTCCTTTAGGAATAGTCCAAGAGGGAAAAATAGAAGATAAGCTATAACCGTAACATACCTTTCTGGGTTTGGCAGCTGTGAAAGACACAATGTAATTGAACTCACAAATATACCAGACATTGATTTTAGAATTAAGCTGTTAGAACTTAGAATTTGGGCTGGGCGCGGTGGCTCAAGCCTGTAATCCCAGCACTTTGGGAGGCCGAGGCGGGTGGATCACGAGGTCAGGAGATCGAGACCAATGTGGTCAACATGGTGAAACCCCGTCTCTACTAAAAATACAAAAAATTAGCTGGGCATGGTGGCACGTGCCTGTAATCCCAGCTACTCAGGAGGCTGAGGCAGGAGAATTGCCCGAACCCAGGACGCAGAGGTTGTGGTGAGCCGGGATCACGCCATTGCACTCCAGCCTGGGTAACAAGAGCGAAACTCCATCTCAAAAAAAAAAAAAAAAAGAACTTAGAATTTATTTAGTGGTACTAGTAATTTAATACATAGCAAGTAATGTGTTCAGTTTATCACCTTAGAAAAACTGCTTTAGAAAATAATCAGACCAGGACTCTGGAAGAACCCTGAAAAAAGGAAAAACTACCTTAAGAATATTATTCTTTGTACCTCCAAAATGTGTGCTTGAGTAACTAGAGTTGAGGACATATTGATCACTTGAAATTATGTATTCCAAAAGAATTAAATTTAAACTTAATAAACTATATTTTGATATTACTACTTATTTTACTACCAACCCAAATGTTCTCATGTAGAATGCATACTTAAAAAGATAAAAATAGCTGGAACATCTTTGTATCTGCATATTTGAAGTTCTCAAATAGGAATATTTATTCACATTAATATGTACCTTCATAATGAAAAAAGGTAGCTTTCAGACAACTCAATTATAAATCTGAATTGGATACTTACCTATTCTAGTTAAAATTTTCATTAGTCAATACCTTACAGAAAAGGAAATACGAAGAAAATGTGATGCAGGGGTCAAAGCTTCCTTTAACAAATATTCTTAAGTGGCTATTGTTTTTTGTTTTCCTCAGTATAAGTATCCAGGGAGTACTTTTATGAAAAGAAGCTAATACTTATTTTCTCTACAACATTTAACTAGAACCATAACTAACTTCCCATTAACAATGAGACAGGAATTAAAGTTGAATATGTTGTTTTACTATCATTTCGAGTCTGTTCCAAGGCAATTTGGGGACTGCTTTTCCATCTTTCACATTAGAATCAATAGTGTCTACAAATCTGGTCAAGTGCTCTGAGTTTATTTAGTAATACTAAATTCAATTAGATGAATTTTTCATAATCAGCTGCCTTCTTATGCAAGTTTTCATGGCATGCCGATTGTCAAGAGAGTACTCTAGGATAGCAGCATATCTGTTACCAGATTTTTTTATGGTAAAATAATCCAAAACAATATATTGAAGAAATTTGATACTTGAGATATTCTGAATTCAGTTTTTTGAACTTTATTTTACAAATCAGGGACGTACTTTTGATTTTTTACAACATTTTTCCCCTAGAGATATAATTCAGATATTCACATGTTCAAAGTAAAAATCAAAATAGGAAATAAGCATAGAAACATCCTACTGGTAATGGTTACGCCTGCATAGTATTTATTAGTCTCCAAACCATTAGAAATTTATTTCAACCAAGGTACTTAGGTGCAGCTTCAGAGAAAGCTAATTTTTATCAACTTACAGTTTAGCGATCATGATCAAGGGAAATGATACTCCTCCACTGACTACAAGTCTTTGCAGAGGCAATTTAGAACTGTTCTTTTATGCTCACTATACAGGACAAACCTTGCCGACATCTACTACCTTGAGAATCAAATTTAAATGAAGTATCCAGGAGTAGCCTAAAGGATTAGTATAATCTGGATGGATATTAAATTTATGTCTTGCTCTTCAGTAAAGTATAGTAACCCCAGATATATGTTCCACAGATGCAGTAATTTCTATTCCTTCATCAGTGCAGAATATAATTTATACTTCCTGAAAGCAGCTTTGTCTATTCATGAAGATAGCTGCTTTTTATTTGCCTTTGTCTCACTTTGAATATATATAATGCGCAGGTTTACAGACTTTTCCAATAGCTATATTTCAACTTGTATTTCATCAGCAAACATTTGAGAGGATGCTACTTCATACATTAACTATTTTAAATTGATTGTTGATCAAGTTAGTAGTGGGCAATTTTATTATAGACAGCAATTCCAGATATAATGAGCAGATGTTTGCTAGCTCTAATCAGTAAGCTGTATGTCTTGTCCTTCTCCCTCTATCTAGGGACATGTGCTGCTTTATTGTCCATATCCTCATGCCCTAGACACAAGGGATTAAAAAGAAAAGAAAGAAAGAGTTTGGAAAGAAAAAGATTACAGGATCAGATTTGTCCTTCCCCAACTCCAAAAGGCCAACACATTTCAATAGCTATGTTTTCAAATAAGATTTATATCCTACAATGTCCTTTGAGGTTTTCTTACTAGAATGAAACATACATTTTAGGAGAGTTAATGATTTTGTTGGAGTGGGGAGAAACAAGCAAGTCACAGGATTTTCAAAAACTAACAATTAAGAGTATACATTAATTAATGTATACTAAGTTTTATCAGTTAAAAAATTTGTTTTTAATTTCAAGGCAAGAGGCTTTAACATGAGAAATAAAATACATGCCAGTCCATTATCTACATATTCTTCATCTTGGCCATGAGATCTTCCAAGCTTTCACCAGAATCTTCCACTGTTACCTCAGTGACAGAATCTTCTTGCTATTGACAAATAAGGGAAATATAGCAGAAAAAAAAGAACCATATAGAATTATTGATGCTTAGGAATATATAATAGGTTTTGACCATGCTCAACAGGTTATAAAGTAAATTTTCTTTAACAAATGTCTTCTAATTTTTAGAAGAAAGACAGTCTTTTGCATTCCCAACTAGTCTGTTTATTTACAAGGCAGTAATTTCAATATTCTTGACCACTCTAGTTTTTTAAAATGGTATTGTAGCTAAAACTACCAATATGCAAAAATGAGATCTTCATTTAATCAACATCTATTATACTTGGTTAATTAATGAGTGAACAAAACCATTTTATTCCATGTTTTAAAAGAATTTAAAATAAGCTATAAATATCTGCATATTAACAATGAATACCTCATTCTTTCTCACATCTTAATGCCTATAGCATAAAATACCTAAAACGGGAAATTCTTCATTGGCATTACAAATTAGAATGAAAATGAAAGAAGATAAATATTTTCTCTTATGTGGTATTTATGTATGGGTAAATCATATTTTTGAAATACCTTTTTTGGAATTGTATATGCCACTGTAATTCCTTCAGGTAAGTCTGGAACTGGACCTGAAGAATTTTTCAGTTCCTCTTCTGAAACCTCAGATACCAGCTCAATACCTGCAAATTTGATCCTATATCAGTTTTTAAGGATTTTAATAAGCAATAATTAATTAATTTATATAATCTTGTTAGATTCTTACCATAAAAGGTTTTGCTTTATGCTGCCATTTCAATATATAAAAGAACACCTACCCCATTCATTATCTTCATGGATGATCTCTTCCTTTTCCTGTGTAACCTCTTGTTTGGGCAGTGCTGCCACCTTTTTCTGTAGAAATCAAACAGCATCAAAGTGTTCTTACTCATTCTCAGTTCTCTGAAGCATTAATCAAGAATTCAGACGGACTTTTTATCTTACCAAAAGCAAGAAAGAACATTCATTTTTGAAGTATGGTGAATAAGTTAACACTATAAAAATACAGAATCCATTTATCTTGTATTCCAAATCTGCTTAAGTTATTGTCCTATGCAGTATGATCCCTCATGCACTCTTAACAGATTGCCATATACCTTATATTCTTCCTGCTGCTTCCTGCAATTTCTGTCATCACACTGAGGATTTGGCTTCATGGACATAGTAGGAAAAAAATCCTGCATTGCATTGTATCCAAGATAAAAACTAACAGTACCAAAATTTAACAGAAACCTGGAAAGACAAATCAAAATAGACTTAAATAAAGAAATTAAAACCAGGAAAAGTACTGGAATAGCTAAATTTTTTTTAAAATGACTTTGAAATAGGTAATGATTTTTTTTTAACCAGAAAACAGAAATTTGCGTTCAAAAAACAGAAATTTTCTAACTGGGAGGCTGAGGTGGGAGGATCACTTGAACCTGGAAGGTGCAGAGTGCAGTGAGCCAAGATCAGACCACTGCACTCCAGGCTGGGTGACAGAGTGAAAGTCTTCAAAAAAAAACATTGTACTATAGAAAACTCTAGGCTAGGCATGGTGGCTCACGCCTATAATCCCAACACTTTGGGAGACTGAGGTGGGCAGATCACTTGAGCTCAGGAGTTCAAGACCAGCCTGAGCAACATGGTGAAACCTTGTCTCTACAAAAAATACAAAAATTAGCCAGCCATTGTGGCATGCACCTGTAGTTCCAGGTACTTGGGAGGCTGAGGTGGGAAGGTCACTTGAGCTTGGGAGGTTGAGGCTGCAGTGAGTCATGATTGTGCCACTGCACTCCAGCTTAGGCAACACAGTGAGACCTTGTCTCAAAAAAAAAGAAAAAAAAAAAAAAGATTGATCTAGTATTCAAAGATACATACAAGATGTAGTTTACAGCATTGTTAATAAAAAAAAAAACTAAGTAGCCTAAATGTCCATTAATAGAGGGGCTAGCTAAGTAGGACACATCCTTACGAGAATACTTTGTTAGCATAATTTTCTCCTTTTTTGTATCATATTATAAAATGTTTATTTAGACAGGGACTACTGCTAAACAGGCTATTTGCTCTTATATGAAATAGCCCTAGGCCATTACCTTGAGAGTTTATATGTATGCTTTTTACAATTTCTTTGCTAGCAACTGACACTTCTTATTGATTGGTGCCTCCATATGTCTTGTTGCAGTTTGTTCTTATTATATTGGAGACTTAGGATCTAATACAACTAAGCTTATTAAATAAGTTGTAAAATGAGGGAAAACAAATGGCCTGAATTAGAGAATACCTAAAGGGACTCTGCTTTTAATAAAGTATGAGTTAATTCATAAACTCTGACAAAAATTTTAGCAGCAAAGAAATCTTTTTCCTTCTTTTTAACTATAGTTTAAATTGAATAGTTGCTGGATATTTGTTTTTGGATAGCAGAGGTATCCAAAAGCAGATTTTAAAAATCTGTTCAAAATAATTTTAAGTATTGTTAATGTGTTTTATGTTAACACTAATATAAATGTTAACATTTACATTTTATGTACATGTAAATGTAAAATTTACAGTAACACTAATGGAATGTTTTACTACATTAACAATAATTACTGTTTAATCACATTTGGGTTATTTTTGGTAAGACTTCTATCAAGATAGTAGAAGCAAGTGTGTTTAAGTCTCCATCCACTGGTCAAGCTTGCAAAGATTTAAATCATTTTGTTAATGCTTCATAAATAAATATACCACTACAAATTGTATCAGTTAATAAGAGCTATTCCAAATGAAGGGAGTAACTGACATATATATTCATATGCGCACGTATTAATATGCACACATGTATTAATATACGTAACATTAATATAGCTATATATGAAAAGTAGACATACATATATAAAATAGAATTTACACATATACATATATAAAACATTTAAAACTACATTTAAGTTTAAAGTAGCCAGATTAAATACTTAGCTGGTAATTTTAATTTCTGAAATGCTTTGTGAAATATATATATTTTTTATAAGCAAACAAGCTGTTCAGAAAAATTAGCCCTGACTTACTTTAACACGTTTTGTACTAAGATCCCAGCAACGACACCCATAGTGGTAGGAAGACTGGCTGCACAAACACCTTCTCGTTTCAGAGTCTTTTCATCAATATTTGCAGCAACTACAAGTGGTGGAGCACACTACATGAAAAAGAATAAAAGAAAACACATTTCAAAAAAAAGAGAAAAAGTATGAGATGTTCCAATAGTATTCCATCCCCATTTCATTTGTTTTTTTCTTTGAATTTTAATACATTTTCAATGCCCCTAAGAACTCGAGTACCTAATAGTGAATAATGATCCAAAAAGAATAATGCATACCGCAAAACAAGCAGATTCTCCAGGAATTATGAGCTGTATATGCCCTGAAACTGCATTTTCACTGACCCCAGATTCCATCCATGTTTGTCCAAGTTCATTACAAGCCTTAGTAGAAATGGGTGAAAACATAAAAAAAAAAGAGCAAGAAGTAATTTTCAATAAATTATTTTAACTGAATGGATTAACCAAGGTCTTTTAAAATTAATTTTCAGAATAAATGAGGAAAGTCATATGATAATGTAATTCCTTGGTAATTACCATGCTCTGTTTAAAGTGACAGTATTCAAGATGTAGTCAGTAAATATTATTAAATCGAATCAAAGTTTATTGGCTTTCTTGTCAAATTAATATGAAATTTCACTTTTCTAAAATAATTTTAGGAAAAAAATGCTAAAATATCTGAAAAGTTAAAACAATATTCAAAAGAAAAATATGTATTTTTATTTTTGAGAAACCATGTTTTTAGGCAATTTATACATATTTATACATTTATAAAATCAAGTAACAAAAGCTAAAACTAATGCTGACCAAGAATTATTATAAGATACTAATTTAAGAATTATACATCAGGCCAGGTGCGGTGGCTCTAGCCCGTAATCCCAGCACTTTGGGAGGCCGAGGCGGGTGGATCACGAGGTCGAGAGATCGAGACCATCCTGGTCAACATGGTGAAACCCCGTCTCTACTAAAAATACAAAAAAATGAGCTGGACACGGTGGCGCATGCCTGTAATCCCAGCTACTCAGGAGGCTGAGGCAGGAGAATTGCCTGAACCCAGGAGGCAGAGGTTGCGGTGAGCCGAGATCGCGCCATTGCACTCCAGCCTGGGTAACAAGAGCGAAACTCCATCTCAAAAAAAAAAAAAAAGAATTATACATCAGAGGTATTTTTTATAGTTTCCCTCTACCAGCAAAAAGAGTAGAATACTGTAACACATGTCACGCCAGCAAAGCTAGACAGGTCCAACAGCTATTAGAGTAGATTTTAAGAGCAGACTTAAAGAAAACATTACAAATAAAACACATAAAAATGTTTATATTCAAAACTACTTTTAGGATGGCGATTATATACTGATAGAATATAGAGGAAAACAGGTAAATCCATGAATATATCTTACACGGCAGGAATACTCACTGTATTTATTGTCATTCGAGCTTCAAAATTGTCCACACAGCTAAGAACTAGATCAACAGGTTTTCCTTCTTCTAACCCACCATTACTAGTCAAAGAAAATAAATTTGAAAAACATTAGGATACAAAATTCACTCTAATACATTATACTTATTTGTCCAGTCTGACATTTATTCTTTCATTAAATGTTTGACTATAATTATCACATAGTAAATTTGTACTATTAAAGATATCATATATCAAGTATTGAGTAACTTATGAATATAACATCAATGATACAGTAGTATTACTTCTTTTACAAGAACCACAGAAGTAAAGGAAGTATACCAGCTTTCACACTTTTATTCATGCTTCCCTACAAATTTAAAGGTAATAAAATCTAATTGAATGCAATTATTTCAGTGGTGTTCTGACAGTCTCTGAAGAAAACCATTTCAGACAGAAATATAATCAACACAGAACTTAAAATTAACACTCTCTTCTTATATTGTAACTTACAGGGGTTTTGCTTGTTTGCTTTTTATTTTTCATTGTTTTTGGACAATAGGTACCTTCAAATGATATTCTAAAACATAAAAATTACACAAAAATTACTGTTTAAAAAATAGAAAAATATATATCAATCTACCGTTCATTGGATTAATCCATAGATTTTTCTAATAGATTTTCTAATATTTGAGCTGAACATTATACAAAATATTCATAAATTAAAATTTTACCTTATTCTATCCATGAAATGTTGAAAGTTTTCCACTGTAGTTATATTGTAGTTGTGTACTTCAAAAAGAACATCAGGATTAATATTCCTAAGAAGGAAAAAGGGAATGATTACAAGTCTGTAATCCTAGCATTTCAGGAGGCTGAGGTGGGAGGATCACTTGAGCCCAGGAGTTCAAGGCTACAGTAAGCTATTATTGCACACACTGCACTCCAAGCTGGGGGATAGAGCGAGACCCTATCTCTAAAAAAAATGTTTTGTTTTGAGATGGAGTCTAGCTCTGTCACCAGGCTGGAGTGCAGTGGCACCATCTCAGCTCACTGTAACCTCCTCCTCCCTGGTTCAAGTAATTCTCCTGCCTCAGCCTCCCAAGTAGCTGGGATTACAGGCACACACCGCCATGCCCTGCTAATTTTTGTATTTAAGTAGAGCTGGGGTTTCACCATGTTGGCCAGGATGGTCTCAATCTCCTGACCTCGTGATCCACCCACCTTGGCCTCCCAGAGTGCTGAGATTACAGGTGTGAGCCACGATGCTTGGCCAAAAAATGTTTGTAAAAAGACTACTAGTAGCTGTAATAAGAAAAAGCTGTGAGAAAAAAAAAGAGATGAAAGAGCTAAAGGGCATTTCACATACCTTAGAGAAGCAGAATTCAAGCTCTTTAAAGAAAACCCAAAGTCCTTTTCTCTTTTATCCCACACTTCAAGGACTAGGTTTATTTGTGTCATAAAGATTACAAAACTGTTCCCACCCCAATCAGTCTAAGTGCAGGAATTAAGACTTTACCATGTCCAGTAACTACATACAGCTCAGCCTCACTTCCTTATTCAGTTAAGAACAAATTTGGGGCCACTAAAAAGTTCCTAAAGCAGGAATTGGCAAACTGTGGCCCATGGGCCAAATCTGGCCTGCCACCTGTTTTTGTGCAGCCTTGAGGCTAAGAATGTTGTTTTTTTTTTCATTTTTAAATGGTTGGGAAAAGAATCAAAAGAGCATTTTATGACATATAAAAATTGTATCAGCCAGGCACGGTGACTCATACCTGCAATCCGAGCATTTTGGGAGGCTGAGGTGGATGAATGGCTTGAGTCCCAAGAGTTCAAGAACAACTTGGGCAATATAGCAAAACCCTATCTCTGCTAAAAATACAAAATATTAGCCAGGAATGGTGGCACATGCCCTTAGTCCCAGCTACTCAAGAGGCTGAGATGGGAGGATCGCTTGAGCCTGGGAGGCGAAGGTACGGTGAGCCAAGATTGTGCCACTACACTGCAATCTGGATGACAGAATGAGACTCTGTCTCATAAACATTTTTTTAATTTAAAAAATTAAAAATTGTATGAAATTGAAATTTCAGAGTCCAAAAATAGAATTTTATCAAAGCACAGACATACTCATTCATGTTTGTGTTGCCTACAGCTGCTATCACACTACAACTAACAGCTGCAACAGAGACCCTCTGGCCCTCAAAGACTAAAATATTTATTATCTAGCCCTTTACATAAAAAGTTTGCCAACCCATGTCCTACAGGTAAGAAAATTCCTTGTACAAGTGAAGACTGCATTTAATAGAGAAAAATTCACATCCATTTCTATTAACTCATATCAAATACATAAAGTAAGACTTCATTGAATATGGTTCTTGATTGCTATTCAATTTACCTCAAAGTATGTTCTGCTGCTTGAACTTTACTTAATCCTGCTTGATGAGGTTGGAAGAAAAGTCTATTCATATTGGCTAGTTCCACCTTGTCATAATCAAAGAGTAGCAACTAAAATGAAAATAGTGGTATTCTGATGAAAAACATACCAAAAAACTAAAAATACCAAAGAATAAATTAGCTTTACATTTAATTAGTTTACTAGTTTGATAATATTAGCTAATTCTGAAACCAGGTACCATATATTAATTTGTTGAATGCTAATATGAGGTATGTAGATACTATTATCCTTACTTTAGAAATGAGGCAACTGGAACACTTGCCCAAAGGCCACTCATCTAATATGAAGTGAAACGGGATTCAAATTCAAGCATTCTCAATCTAGCATCTGCATCTCAACCACAATGCTTTGCTGCCTCTCTAAATTATTCATTCAGAAATTAAGATTAATTCCCTTTCATTCCATTTTTTAAAACTGTGCCAAAATCCTTCATTTCCATTGTTTGCTAAAAGCCAGGAATCCATTGGATAAATGAAATCTTTAAATAAGATAAAAACAAATGCTGTAACTTAAAATATCATATAACCTGACTCTTTTGTGTAGATGACAAAATATTTATCAGAAATGACAAAATATATACCAATGACATGGCTAAAGCATTATTCCAAACAAAATTACAAATCAGTTAACTGTTTCCTGCTATATAGTTAAGCCTGTTTCAAACAGCATTTGTCTCTTGGTCTCTCTCTCACACACACAAATTAAAATGGCCATTAGATCACATTTCTTATCAATAAGAACAGGCTAGAGCCAAGGACTTCCTAAATCCCTTCTTGATATGAAATTCTGTGACTCTGTAATACAATTCTCATTATACTAAATAATGAAAACAAAAATGGGATTTTCTTCTCAATACAAAAACTAAAAAGAAAAACCTCAACCCGTAACACCTAGGTAGCCCTTAATACCTTGCTAGAAAAGATCTCACATTCTCCATAATTTTCTAATCCTAATTAAGAGTCTCCAAGACATAGTTTATTTAAGCTCATCAATAAATATGTATTAGGTCAGGCCAAGAACTACATTTTAGTTTCTGCCTCATAGTTTGTTTACGTTTATGGGTAAGTTGCAGGAAACACTAAACTTGTTTTCTATTCTGTCTGGTATATGTTTAATAAAATATTTGTTATATGTTTCAGTGTTTCATACACTTTATCAAATTAATAACCTTTTTTCCTAAGCTTCTATATCTAAAACACTTAAGTCCAAATCGTTTATACTTACAACAGAAATGTTTCTAAACACAATTAGACAATCCTTGTCTAATTAGCAATAATAACACCTTTTGTTTAGGTGGTATATGTCTCAACCCTTTGGGTAGAAAGAACAATCTAGATTAATACACTGCAAGTCAATAAACCATTAGTAATGAAAAAAATCCTAATTTGTACCTGATTTACTCCAGGAGTGAGTAGTTCCCTATATGATAGGCAAAGAGAAATGTTTTTACCTTACCAATGCCACATCTTGTCAGCATTTCAGCAGTTACACTACCTACTCCACCAACACCTACTATTGCTACAGCAAAGGTACGGATTTTCTGTGAAATACAAAATAATATGTGTTGGTTAATAGCTCTTCATCAAATATGTCAACAGAAGCTATTTTCATTTACTGAATTCATTTTACAAAAACTTGGAAAGGGTTTATCATACCTCATAGTCGCTTACAATTCCCATTCGTTTCAATGCCATCAAGCGGCTTAAAACAAAGGAGAAAAAATGTTTTAAAGCTTACAGTCTTTTAAGTGATAGAAATACAAATAGATATATATCATCACAGAAAATAAACACCAAAATATTATCATTACTAATCATTTCAAACAGGAGGATGCTTACAGGCTGGTTTTTACCAGATGAAACTAAACTACCCAGATAGCTTTAAAAACTCTCCCAGGTGAAGCCTATGAAATAAGATTGGTTTTTAAAAGCTACGTATTCAGATGTACAGCTAAGATTGTGACTGCTACTTAAATGTTAAGGGTCAAAGTTAAATTTCAACATTTTTCTATGCTTTGGTAGAATACGTAAATATTTAATGTTTTAACATTCAGATCTCCACCATCAGAGTAAACTCATGGCTGGAATTCCATTCTCTTGTTGCCTCTGCCCACAATGGATGATGTCTAATTTTATTAAGCGCCTACTATATGCCAAAGACTCTAAGAGGTGCTTTAATAGTTACTAGCAATCTGCAGTTTAAGTCTATAATTAATTCTCATTCATCTTCACTTTAAGGAGTCAGATGGTTTCACCAGGCTTGTTAGGAAATTCAGCCACTACCCCCATTTTCCTCTCCCTCACTTTTAACTCCATCACCATCATATTCCTAAATAACATGCCAACACTGTTATTTCTTTTCAGTTTTAGTCAATTATCTGAATCAGATTTTGCTCTTAGCATTCATCCCTACTGCACACAGACATTTTCCATCCCACCAACCTCCCATAGTGTTCATATTGTCATCTTGGTTAGATGTTAACTCATCACATCTGGGCCAAGCAACATATTAAAACTTACCCTTTCCTCTAATCCCCACCCCTGAACTTAATAAGTGTGTTTCTCCTGATGCTTAATTTCCTATGTTTTTTCACAAATTCAACCCCAACTTTCCACTAATTTTCTAAAATTCCTCTAGATACAGTGATATGCGTGAAGCAGTCTATCAATTTCATCATCTTAAAGATATATCTCCTAGAATCTGACATAGTATCTGTCTCTAGACTTAGTGCACATACAGCTGCCTTCCTAGGATCTTCCTTCATCATTATACTACAACGTTTCTTAATTTCTTTATTTTGTGTTAACCCCCTGCTTCCTGTATGCCATAGCTCACTAGTTCTGAAGTGTCTATGGATCAGCAACAGCATCACCTGAGAATTTGATAGAAATGCAATTTCTCAGGCCCTACCGTATAATCACTCACTGAATCAGAAATCTTGGATGTGGAGTCTAACAATTTGCTTTAACAAGTCCTCCAGTAATTCTGATGCACATGAAAGTTTAAAAGACTCTGTTAACAATTATTTTTAAACTTACTCTCTTGCTGTGGTTAGATCATCTTCCAGTAGTTTTGCAAAGGGTATATAGCAGAGGTAAATTTTGAGAACTTTCATACCTGAAAATATTCCTTATCAAAATTATATTCTGTATAAAAATGACAAAGCAAAAGGCATACAATTGTGGGAAGCTACACATATACTCTTAATTGATAGTTTAACTTGGTATAGAATTCTAAAGTTAGAATTGTCTTTCAACGTTTTAAGGTAATGCTGCAGTGTCTCCTAGCTTATAAAATTTCACAGTGTGCCTTAATATGAATCTGTTCTTATCCCTTGTGCTGAGTTTTTAGTGTACCCTTTCAAAATGAAAACTCGCGTTTTCAGTTCTGGCAAATTTCCTTGAAGAATTTGGTTACTTCCTTGTTTGGTTTGCTTTTCAGACTGTCTGGAAGTCCTATTATTTGGAAGTTGGACCATCTGGATTTGTCCTTTATTTTCTCTCTCCAATTATCTATCATTTTAGTTATCTGCTTTATTCTATGGATGAATTCTTTCAACTTTATTTTCCAACACTTCTGTTGAGATTTTCATTTCTATTACCATCTCCATTTGCAAGAATTCTTGATCATCTAAATACTTTGCACCTTGTTCCTATGTCATTTGTACCATATCATCTCTCATCTGAGGATGCTAATGATAATTCGGGGGGATGTGTTTCTCTTACATAGTCTATCCAAGTTGCTATTTTTATTTCTTTCATGTTAGAAGTTTCTCTCATCCTTTGTTCTGTTCATATTTAAGAGTGGGACACTAATAAAGGTTAACAATATAGGCAATACTGTTTAATTTTGGACTTCCCTGTAGGGTGATCTGGCCAGACTATTCAGCTGAGAAACCCACAATCCTCTTGGCGCTATCAGATTAGAACATAATCTTTCAAACTCCAACCTGAGTTCAAGTTCCAACCCCACGATCAGCTGTCGGCAGTGTAGAAGCAAGGCTGGGAGCATTATGTATGTAAGCATTCCATTCACATTTAGCTGTAGCACTCAGCATGTAAACATTCACTTTATCCCTTCCTTCAGATATAAAAACCTGCCCCAATTATTCTTGGAAATCTTCTATTTTACTCTTTCTAATGAAGAAATCTCTACTCTCCTCTTCTGGGTAGGGAAGGAGCATTTGCCCAGCTACCCATAGTGGAGTAGGGGATCTGGGCTTTGTTTCAACAGATTTTCAACTGAAAGTTTTTTGGTTTTTGTTTTTTAGCCCTACCTGAAGTTCTGCAAGTACCTGTGCCTATTCCGGAGGCTTTTGGGGGATTCTTGAAATAAACTGGGTTACAAGCTTAAGATTAAACTTCTCTGAATCTATTAAATCAATTACCTTCACCCATCCCTTCTCTATTTTCCAAACTGTTACTATAATCTTCAAGTACAGGGACCCACCCCTTCCCACCAGTTATTAATAGGAACCCTTTATGTTTTCAAAGGGAATTTTCTTTTTAAAAAGTTGCTTTACTGTCACTTTAGTGGGGTCGGGTAGAAAGTGATGACAGCTGCATCACAGGAATTTGCTATATTTATCTTGATGCTCCCTTCAATCTTTACAAATAACCTGAGAAGGATGGATGGCAACCCCCTTTCACAGATGAGGGAAATGATTTGGGTTAATCGACTGCCCAAGATCAGCTAACTGGCAAACAGTATACTCAGTTGGGTTTCTGAGCCAGGATTTGATACCAGGTTTTCTGATCTCAAAGCCTCTGCAGTTTTTCCACATGCTTATAACTACATTCCATACCACATAATTTTACAGTTACTTGTGTTGTTTGATCAATATCCCACATCCATGTAGTCTCTCAAACTGAAGCAAAAGTCAGGGGCTTTATATTTCTTTTGTATCTCTTGAAGCAATTAAAATGGTGTTGAACACATACATATCCCTCTCTTATATCTTTCAATAACCCTGTACTTGATCATAATTCTTACCACCTATACTGCAATGGCATGTTTACTCTTCTATTGATCTCACACTCATCTGATAAGCGCTAGAAGGAAAAGACCATGTCTACTTTGTATTCAGTGTCTGCACATAATAAGTACTCAATACAAAGTGAGTATTATTGTCAAGGAGGACTGAAGACAAAAAGGTATTCAGTAAATATTTGCTGTATGAACAATTTTAAAAATTAAGGTTCACCTTTATTAAAATTCCACATACCAGTCAACAGCTTTGGGTGTCAAGCAGCCATCTCCTGCATAGCAATGGTACAAATCAGAAAATACTAAATACGGGCCGGGCGCAGTGTCTCACGCCTATAATCCCAGTACTTTGGGAGGCCGAGGCTGGCAGATCATGAGGTCGGGAGTTCGAGACCAGCTTGGCCAATATGGTGAAACGCTACCACTACTAAAAATACAAAAATTAGCCAGGCGTGGTGGTGCGTGCCTAGAGTCCCAGCTATTCAGGAGGCTGAGGCAGGAGAATCGCTTAAACCTGGAAGGTGAAGGTTGCAGGGAGCCAAGATAGCTCTACTGACTCCAGCCTAGGCAACAGAGCAAGACTCCATCTCAAAAAAAAAGAAAAAAGAAAATACTAAATATTTAGACTTGAGTTCTGAAAGTCTTGTAATTATTACAATGACAAGGGATCATCTCATATTAAAATAATGTCTGAAAGGCAACTTAAATTCATGACCCATATTCTTCTGCTTTTCATTCTGGAGGGAAAATTTCAAAGTCTTCATTTGTAAATTTTAAAATGTTTTAAAAATGTCAAATAGTTGCCACTTATTCTGATTAGAGATGTCAGTTCATGCTTATTTAATCTCTAAAAATTGTGGGCCATTAACCCTTCACATTTGGCAACACAGTTAAAACAGTGCACCCTAAGACTTCTACTGTGGCTTTATATGTCACAAACTAAAACCTTTTTTAAAAATCAAAAACCTTATGCTCTTTAAAGGAAAAAATCAACAATAAAATCTTCCCATTTCATTTACTTTAACACTATACAATTTTTAGCTACACGACTTAATTGTTTATTTGTTTTTACTGGAGAGATAGTTCCATGAGAATATTGGATTAAGACAAATCTAATGTAAGACAGGCCGTATTATTTACTACCAATGCTATGAACTGAGGTGGCTCTCTAAGCCTCAATTTTCTCATCTATATAATGGGGGGTAAAATGGTAGCAATCCCATAAGGTTTTGGTGAGAGGACAAAATGCATGTAAAGTGCCTAGCATCGTGAAAACTCAGTAACTGCTTGCTACTGAATGCACCAAGCAATAAAATCTTGCATAAGGCTTACCACGTACAAGCACGACACTAAGAACTTTATATATACTGATTTTTTCAATCCCCACAACTATAACAAAGAAAGATATTACTATTATCTTCATTTTACAGGTAAAACTGAAACGGAGAGTTTCACAACTTGCCTAAGGTTAGGCAGCTACTAAGAGAGTAGATTTGAATTGCAATCGTCCTAGAAGTAGAGTCTTTACCCTTAACCTGCAATCAGCCTGGAGAAATCTCTACTCTTCCTGGGTAGGGAAGGAGCATTTACCTTACTGGAGGTAGAGTCCTTACTATATTCCATCTGCTGAATTGACAAACTTTGTTAGGAAAGAAGAAAAGTGAGGCGTGGGCAGTCCTGGTAATGTCAAATGGTTTGAGATGCTAAGGAGCACCCGAATATCTCAGATAAGAGCTAACCTCGTTCTCCCCCGCCCCGCCCCCATTTAAGATGCATTGATAAGCCTTTAATAAAACTTCAAGTTTACTCTTAGCAGGTTTTACATTTGATCGCATCTTCTGAAAATTCTTACTATCAGTCTCATGCACAGCGAGGTGGATTAATTAGAAGCAAGGGCGACAGGAAACTGGACACATGTCCTCAGCAAGTGCAAGTGCAGCACCATATGGCTGACTCACCGGAGGTTTTTTTAAAAAAGAAAAACAACATCTTCTGATCAGTACTGAGATGTGGCCTTGCCCAGTTGGGAACGGGATCCCCCCCAAGAAAAGGGTGGCGGGAGTCCGCATGAGCGGAACGTGGGGAGAGCCTCACTCCTGTTCTCACGGAGCCTGACCTCGTCCACCTCGCCTGCCTCCGACTGGCGACGCAGGTTACCTGTAGGGATTCGAATCCACCACCTCGGAGCTCATCTTCTCTATGCGGGCCCGGCCGCCCCCTCCGTCGCCGCTCCCCGGCACCCGCCGACTTCTCTCCTGGGCAAGTTCCCGCTCCAGCTCCTGGACCCGCTGCTGCAGCCGCTCCACAGACTGGGCCATGGCTGGGACTCCGGCCGCCAACGCTCCCAGCCCGGGCCTTCGCCGCCGCCTTCGCCCCACGCTGCTCGGCTGGGCCCACGAGGGGTACGTGGGGAGGCACCTAGCCGCTGCCTTCCTAACCCAGAGCCCTGGGGAAGTGCCCCCAGCGCCTCACACACAGACACGTCTCCACCACTCCCACCGGCCTTCCTCGGAGCCGCTTCCGGTGCGTCGCAGACATCGCTCCCCCTCAGCAAAAACCTGGCTCTTTCGGCTTCCTTCTTCGCTGGGTCGGCTAAACCCGGCCGCAGCAGGATCGGGGTGGTAAGTGTCCAGAGCAGGCGGCCTGCGATGTTGCCTTTCTAACCGGGTGTCTTGGAGAAACAGGATCTCTTCTTCTCGGGCTCGAAGTCCCGACGGGCCTTTTTCTGAACTGGACCCTGCAGGTCTTCCGCCTGCTGATGCATTACATTTGGGGGTGGGAGAGGCTTCTGCGTCGTTCCTTGCCCGTAACGATGACCATGGCTTTGCTTTCTTTAAAATGGAGGGCTCCAACTCTGACGCTGACTGGAGAACTGAAATCCGAACACACATTGGGCTCTTCCGACACTTGGCTAGAGCTAAAACGTCCAGATTCAGCGGGCCGGCGTTGCTCAGCAACGGCGCGTAGCAGGTGTGTGGTTGGCTGAAGCCAGACCCCGCCCCGGCCTTGGCCCAGACTCTCAGGTGGCGCTGCCCCAACTCCGAAGGACCTCGGCACTCGAGACCTGTGGACTCCGCGCTGCTGTGGCCTGCGGGGGCGATCATGAAGCTAGGTGCCACTGGCAAGACCGATTTGGTCGAAGTGCTGCCACAGCACAAGTTCGACCGCAAGTCCCTGGAGGCCTACCTAAACCAGCGCTTGCCTGGCTTTGGGGCCGAACGTGAGGCTACGCTGACCATTGCTCAGTACAGGTATCGACACTAGGCTTTGCCTACAGCGCAAACAAATCTGTGCTTTGCGTTTTCCTTCCTTTGGCCCGGGGTGGGTTACTAAATTTCTCCCATCCCGATTGCTTTTCCTACCGTCAGTGGACTCATCCTGCAGGCCTGAGCTGCTATTGCCGGCCACCCTGAATTCGATGCTGTGGGGTCTTCCCAATTGGAGGGCAGTCATGGAAGCGCAGTCAAGTTCACCATTCCACTGTCCAAGGGAATCTTTGTTCAAGGATGGATGTATGACCCTTGAGGATTCTCTAAGGCAATTAAGGCTAGAAACTCTGAGAAATAGTTGCCTTCTCTGACCTTTTGGGATATAACCCTTAGATCTTTTTCTGAGAAGCTGGTGTAATTCCGTTTGATTGGCGGTATTCCGGGAGGCTGAGTTAATGACACCAGAAGGAGGATCCGAATTCGAGTACTACTAGCTATTCCACTTAGGACGTCACAGCACCACTTTGGGCCTCAGGTTATTTGAAGTGAGGTAATGGAACTGGGTGAGAGGATTCTGAGAGTACGGTTCCCCGCCGGGAATCGGGCTTTAGTCTAATGTTTTCTAATAGACAATATATTCTTAAAACTTTATTCTAAAAATAACGTTGTTTCTAATACAGGGCTATAGAAAGAGTCCTATCATTCAGAAAACTGAATCTGTCACTTGCTGTCTGGGAGTTTAAATATGTTATATAAACTCTCTGAGAACTAGTTTCCTAAATTGTAATACCTGACTGTACTGATTAATGAAATGCAGTACAGTAATATAGGTGAAAGGGCATGAGAATTGCAATAACAGTATAGTAGTGGCATGTTACCGCTGGCATTTATATTCTTTGACTACTGATTTTGGTGAAAGTGAAAATAGTAATAAAGGAGATGGATCCGGGAACATTTTAGGGTATAGAATTAAAAAGTCCCATGTCCCTACAGATATTGGATAATGAACGAAAAGGTGGAATAAAGAATAGCTGAGATTTCTAGGCTAGAAGCCTCGTGCTATAACAAACTAAAACAGATCAAAGTTCAAATTCCGACTATTCTGTTTACTCTGGGATTTGGACGTGTTACCCTTTGAGCACGTAGTCCTGCTCTGGCAAAAAGGAGATAGCAACACTCAAGAGGTACATAACTGGAATATACTTAATTCTGAACCAAGCTGAATGTTAAACCATAATTGTGTTCAATAAATGAAATTGTGGTATAAAAATTGCTTCCAGAAATATTGTATAAGCTTGGTTTAATAAATATGTATGGCACTTTGGATCCCACAGAGAACACGGGTTCATTTCTAGGACACATGAAAAAGTTTATAAAAATTGGAAAACACATAGGCCATGAAGGAAGTCTTAGAAATTCAAAAGAATCAATCTTTGTATTTTGAAAATGTACTTTCTGGCCAAGTGTGGTGGCTCACACCTGTAATCCCAGCACTTTGGGAGGCTAAGGTGGCTGGATCACTTGAGGTCAGGAGTTCGAGACCAGCCTGGCCAACATGATGAAACCCCATCTCTACTAAAGATACAAAAATTAGCTGCGCATGGTGGCGCACACTGGTAATCCCAGCTACTTGTAGGAGGCTGAGGCAGAAGAATCCCTTGAACTGGGAGAGGGACGTGGCAGTGAGCCGAGATTGCGCCACCACATTCCAGCCTAGGCGACAGAGTGAGACTCCGTCTCAAAAAAAAAAAAGAAAAAGAAAAAACAATTTTTTTTAATGCCAAAAGTTTAACAGAAGACAGCTTGCATGTGTTTAGAAATTAATTGATTCATGGATTAAAGATCCAATAATCTACACAGACAGTAAAAGGCTATCAAAATTCAGTGTACAGAAATCAACTTCATTTCTCTACTTTAACAACAATTAAAATGCCATTCGAAAACCTACAAGAGCATGAAAATACAAATTACCTAAACAAAAGATGTCAAGACCTTTGTAAAGAAATGGTAAAACTTTTATTAGGACCTTAAAAAGAATTTTAGAAATTAAGAGATGCTATGTTATTCGATAGAAATATTCAATATTGCAAACATTTTTCTTCTTATCGATCTATTGATGCAAAGCAATCAAAATCCTAATTTTTTTCTCTAATTTGAAAAAGTGCTCCTAAATTTTATGTGTAAAAGTGAAGGATTAAAGATAGCAGAAACATTTCTAAAGAACCCTAAGGCAGGAAATTTGAATTAAGACGGCATGATATTAGCACAGAGATAGACAAACAGACCAATGAAATAGAATGGAGAGTTCACAGAAAGACCCATAAACTTTTATATTTATAAAAGTTTGATATGTGACACTGTTGGCATTGAGAGTCAGTGGGGAGAATAAAGAAATTTTTGAGAAGTTATACTGGAATAATTGTTATCTGTATGAAGAAATAGAAATTATAGACTCTTTATCTCATATAGTTTCAGGTAGATAAAAGAATTGAATGTTAAAGGCAAAACTATAAATGTTTGGAAGACATGTAAGTTAGTTTTATGACTTCAGAGAAGAAAATTTTTTAAAGGCAAAAGCAGAAACCACAAAGGAAATGACTGATAAATTTTCATTAAAAGACTACTTAATAAATTTTCATTAAAAGACTACTTAAAGTGAGGCCGGGCGCGGTGGCTCAAGCCTGTAATCCCAGCACTTTGGGAGGCCGAGGCGGGTAGATCACAAGGTCAAGAGATCGAGACCATACTGGTCAACATGGAGAAACCCCGTCTCTACTAAAAAAAAGTACCAAAAAAAGTAGCTGGGCATGGTGGCGCGTACCTGTAATCCCAGCTACTCGGGAGGCTGAGGCAGGAGAATTGTGTGAACCCAGGAGGCGGAGGTTGCGGTGAGTTGAGATCGTGCCATTGCACTCCAGCCTGGGTAACAAGAGCGAAACTCCGTCTCAAAAAAAAAAAAAAAAAAAAAGACTACTTAAAGTGAAAAGACAAAATATTTTCAGTATACATAATGGTTAAAATATTCATATTCAGCATATAAATAACTATAATGGCTCACCTGAAAATGGGCAAAAACTTGAAGATGCTCAGCTTCATTACACTGTAGTAATAAGAGAAATGCAAATTTTAAAAAACACAATGAGAAACCATTTAACACATCCAGATTGACTTCTTTTTTAAAAATCTGGCAATAGGCTGGTCTCAGTGGCTCATGACTGTAATCCCAGCATTTTGGGAGGCCGAGGCAGGTGGATCATGAGGTCAGGAGTTCAAGACCAGCCTGGCCAACATAGTGAAACCCTGTCTCTACTAAAAATACAAAAATTAGCTGGACATGGTGGCGTGCGCCTGTTGTTCCAGCTACTGGGGAGGCTGAGGCAGAAAAATAGCTTGAACCCGGGAGGGAGAGGTTGCAGCGAACCAAGATTTCGCCACTGCACTCCAGTGTGGGCAACAGAGCAAGACTCCATCTCAAAAAATAAAAAGAAGTTGGGAAGATACACATGCCCTGTGACCTAGCAGTTCTACTCACAGGTGTATACACCTGAGACTTTTTCTTGTACTACAGTTTAAGGGGACAATCTACAAAGATGTTAATTGCACTGTTTGTAATAGCAAAAATCCAGGAAACAACACAATGTTTATAGATATAGAATGGATGAATAAAATTGCAGTGTATTCACATAATGGAGTACCATACAACCGTGAAAATGATTTAGCTATAGCTATACATAACACAGAATAAAAAACATGGAGAAATGAACAGTATATTGTATACAGAGATGAACTTCAAGGGAATGATAAATATAAAATTCAGAACAGTAGTTTACTCAGGGGGAGGCATATACAGGGATTCAAAGACTAATTTTCTCGGGGTAGGGAAAATGGTGTTTTGTGGCACTACTATTCCTTATGCCTTACCAATTTTGTAAATACTCTTTTTATCTGCAACATTTACTTTTAAAATTTGCAAAATTTAAATCTTACTGGAAATAGAAAATATTTAGAATTAATAATGAAAGCATTATATAGCTTGATACAACAAAACTTGTGATTTGTAGCTGAGTGCCTAATATGTATCTGGCACTGTCTCAACCACTGAGGATATAACAAAAAATCTTGTCTCCCTGGAACTTCCATCCTATTTGTAGAAAACAGACAGGAAAATCGATTTCTGAACTTTACAATGTCTTCCTAGAGAACACGGCATTCAGCAAAGACTTGAAGGGGGCTGAAGATGTGAACCATGTAAATATCCAGGAGAAGAATGTTCCAGACAGTGGGGACTGCTAATGCAAAGGCCCTGAAAGGGGTATGTTCCTGGTGTGTTGAGGAAACACA